CCCCAAATAGAAGTTGGCCTCCTCCACTTGCTTCGTGTCTCAGGATAATAAGTTGGTCACACTGTTATTGTGTGTGAGGTGCTGGAGATGGAACCCAGGGTCTTGTACATGGTAGACAAGCGCTTTCCTACTGTCCCTAGATCACACTTTCTTAATAAAGAGTTTTGCTGCTTCCAAAAAAAAAAAAAAAAAGAAAGTTAAAAAAAAAATAGTTACTGTGAGATTCACAGTGCATTGACCAGTTGAGTTTTGAACGTCTCATTCTGAACTAGCTACGTAGTCAATAAGCCGTCATAAGCCATGATGCCCACAGACCACAACGGAAGGAGAGCAAAGTGGGAACGCAAGGCACTTTGAGTTCCACTAAAGGAAGGGGTCACAGAAGTCACCTAATCACAGCTTTGAGCCCTTGGTCCACACACATGAGAGTCCCCCTGGTCAACAGACGGCTTGATGATCCAGTCCCCCAGTGCCGGCCCCACAGTGTGAGCTGCAGGAACTGCCACACCAGCAGGCCCCCATGGAAGAAGGACTGGGGGACAAAGGGGAAGAGCTCAGAAACCACGGGTCAGGTCAATGCTGTCACCCACAAGCCACAAAACCTCAGTGCCTACCTGCAGTCTGACCCTTCATCACTCCCAAGCTTTGCTTTTTTCTTTCCTTCTTTCTTTTTTCTTTTTACAGTGCTGGGGCTTGAACCCAGGGCCTTGCACAGGCTAGGTAAGTGCTCTACTACTGAGCTACATCTCTAGGCCACAAGCTTTTTTTCTGATAAAACTGTGATCACCAATGTGGCTTAAAAGTCTGAGCTGGGTGCAGTGGCACATGCCTGTAATCCCAGGGATTCAGGAGGCTGAAGCAGGAGAATCACAAGTTCAAAGGCAACCTCAGCAATTTAGCAAGGCCCTAAGCAACTTAGCAAGTCCCTGTCTCAAATTAAAAAATAAAAAGGGTTGGGAATGTTGCTCAATGGTTAAGTATCCCTGGGTTCAATCCCTAGTACAAACAAACAAAAAACAAAAACCCCCCAAAACCTGTCTGTATCACTTCACACCCATTAAGATGGTTATTAGGAAAAAAAGAAAACAACTAAAAATAACAAGTAAGAGCAAGAATACAGGGAAATTGAAACCCTGTGCAGTGCTGGAAAAATGGTGCAGCCACTGTGGAAAAGAGCGTGATAGTTCCACCCCAAATTAAACAAAAACTACCACATTATGCAGCAACTCTACTCCTGGGTACACACGCAAAAGAACTAAAAGCAAGGATTCAACAGACACTTACACACAGATGCTCACAGCAGCATTACTCACAATAGCCAAAAAGTGGGCACAATTCAAATGTCCATGGCAGATGAATGGCTAAGCAAAATGTAGATAGGTATATGTATGTGTACATACATGTGTACACATGTGAACATTCATGCACACACAAGGAAATATTATTCAGACTTAAAAGGGAAGGAAATTCTGAAACACAATACAACATAGGCAAACCTTGAGGACATTAAGCAAAATATGCCACTCATTAAGAAAAAAAGACAAATACTATACAATTCCACTTACATGAGGTACCTAGAGTTGCCAAATGCATAGAGAAAAGTAGGATGGATGGTAGTTGCCAGGGGCCAGGAAAAGTGGAAAGAGGAAATTATTGCTAATGGGTAGAGTCTCAGCCTGCAAAATGAAAAGAGTTCTGGAGTCTGGCTGCACGGTACAGTGAATGCTCAGAACACTACTGAACCGGCTACTTCAAATGGTTACATGGAATACAGAATCCATGCAAATGCACAGCTTTATTAAGGACTATCATTATTCTGTTCGAATAGCCATTTGTCTGAGCAAAACTACTGCCTGCAGCAAGCACACTAGGCAGAGGAGCTACAAAACTGTGACCTGGTTGCTCCCCAGGTGAGCTGGTTGGGGACCTACAGGAATCCACTGGTAAGAGCACTGACAGAAATATGCACTGGGTGCCATGAAGCCAGGCTGGGAGAGGGGCGGGAAGGTCAGGGAAGACTTCCCTAAGGGACTGATCTCGAAGCCATCTTCTAGGACAGTGGACCTGGGACCTGGCTGGATTTGGTGATCTGTTACTGCCCAAGTACATCACCACTATGTAATCCCTCCCTTAACAGAACGAGTGCTGGATAGATTACAAAGCTCACCCACATCCTCGACATATGGTTCATGTGAAGCAGCAACTCTGGGTGCTCAGACGGCCAGAGTTAAGGTGACATCCAGAAAGAACAGAGTCCCAATATGGTACTAAATGCAAGCCCACTTCCTTCATCTTGTCCCCAATCCAAAGAATAAAGATCCTGAGCAGCCAAAAATTTTTATTTCACCTAAGAGCCTGTGTCAGCCAGGTTCTAGAACACTGGAGACAGTTCTGACCTTATAAAGTACAGAGCCAAATCCTAGGGCTTTTTGATATTTGCAATAGCCAGATTTATATCTGGAAGGAATGAAAGAACAATAACAAATTTATTTTCCAGTCTGTATATTATGAATTTCAATGTTTTCCTGTTTCTTCACATGAAGTTTCCTTTCGGGTGGTTATAAAATCCTGTCTCGTTTATGTTGGAGACAGAACAGGCTGACTGCATGCAGTGAACTTCAAGAGCTAGTGGAAAAGGCGTGCTAACCCCGCCTCTCCCCTACTCCTGCTCTCCATTCCCTTTGGCTGGAGGCAGCACTGGGAAGGTCCAACACCAAAGAGCCACAGCTGGGTCCTGGGGGCCAAATAAGCTCCAGGCTAATGAAGAGGGTTTCCAAAATGAAACAGTACCCAAGCACTGCTGCTCCCACAGCGTCACAAATAGCTGCACCTTGTCATGAAAAAAACCCTAGGAAAACGCCAAAAAAAAATGAACTAACCATAGTTAATGCTGGAAAGAGAAAAAGAATAAATGCCCAAACTGGTCCCAGGAACTTTCAAAAATCAGGTGGGTCCACCCATTTTGTGCCCCATCCTAAAATATGAGGAAAGCTGTGAGACCAAGGGAATGTCAGGACTGCCTGTCATTGAACTGCTGGTCCCAAGCCAGGATGACATTATCACAGCTCCGTTTTCAGCATGCAAACACACACACTAACACACACATACAAGGTTAATTTATGCAAAACAGCTAAGTTTTCAAGAGTTGGCCAGAGAAACACTGTGCAGATGTCATGTAGATAAAGTTCTGCAAGACTTAAGGATTTACTTGACTGGAATTGCAATTTCCGCAAAGAATAACAAAACATTTGCTTACATGTATCTCTGTCTGCTGTCCCCACTTTTCATTGGTTCAAAACTTCTGGGTCCCATGCCCTTTGTGGATCCCACACAGACATAGAGCAAATTCAGCCCACGATGTTCAGCCAGTCGATTTTGCTTGTCCAACAGCCGAGGCAGCAAAGCAATGGCTAAGGGAACTAGGAATCGCTCTCCCAAGTTTAAAAGATATATAGGATATTAAAAAACAAAAAACTGCGCACCAATTTGCCGCCCTTACAGAAAAGAACGAAGAAATTAAGCACTGAGCTTTTTGCAGACCTCTCTCTCTGAGGCTGACTTCTGAAACTGTGAGAAAGTCCCCACTCCCAAACGAAGGCTTCAAGATGGAAATTACAGAGGCGCAGCTTTTTATAATTAACAATATCATTGCATCACTGGCTAATGCCTTTTCCAATACCCTGACACAGCCTGAATCTCCGCCACAGCCATTTTCCACCCATCAGGTTTTCAGTAAGGTTTCCAGACCCTGGAGAAAGAAAGCCCGGCGCCGAGAACCTTACCTTTTAAATCCTGGCATGTCCAAGATGCGCGGGGAGAAGAGGCGAAGCGGGAGAGAAAGCTCCCAGGCGGGACCCTCGGAGGAGTTCTGCGCGGCGGCTGCGCTGGGCCGGGGGGACTCGCGGGGATTTTATTCCAGAGGGGCCCAGCGAGTGATGGAGAGGGCAGGGGGACAGCCTGGGTGCTCCGAGCCACTGGAGAGCCCTCGGAGCAGGCACCTGGTTTCGCTTAGCCCTCTTCAGTAATTCAGCATTAAACCAATTGGAGGAGGAATGTTAAAAATGAACACTTCATTTTCTAAGTATGTTAAACAATGCAAATGGGGCCTCAGTCTGGACACAGCTGGTTCAGATTACAGCGCTCACCAACTGGCTAGACTCCTCACAACAATCTTGGGGCGTCTGCCAGGGCCAAGGGCTCGGCGCTGGGAGGAGAGCCCGGTCCCGGCCGCGCTCGGCTGCGAGCACCTCGGCTGGAGGCGAAGGGCGGGCAAGTGCAGGGGCGTGGGCCGCGGAGGCCTCGGCTTCCCACCCGGGGCGGGGCGCGCGCGGGAGGGGGTGGCGCGCCCGGCTGGGCGGCGTGGCACCAGGACCCTCAGGGACGCGATCGCGCTGGGACAAGAGTGACTTGCGCTCACGACACTGGCAATTGCAGGGACGAGAAACGTAGAATTGATGGGAAAACCAGAATCTATGAAGCCGAGGTTTGGGGCGAAGGGTGGCAGGGGGTGGGGAAGAGGAGGAGGCTGGAATCCCGCGGATGCTCACTTCAGGCTCCCACCGTAACCAGGACACCGTTTTTTTTCCCGGGTCCTCGTCCCTGGATTCCTTCTGGCATTTTCTGGCTTTAATTAAAAAGTGTCCCTTGGCTTGAAAGTGACTCTGACAAGTGGAAAGGTGTTTTGCAAAAGAGGAGTGGGGGAAAGCGGGATGACGAACAACACCCAAGTCCTGTAGTGGAGGTGTCAAACTATTTTTTTCTTTCTTTTTTTTTTTTTTCGAAATTTGGAACCTTTTCATTAAATGAAATTGAACCAAGAACACTCTAGGAAAGACACAAGTGGACTGGTGGTGGTCCAAGCCCTTTTTACTCATCTCCTCTTTCTCCTGGACTCCTCAAAACCCTAACTACAATTCAGCAAGCACACAGCTCCTCTCCATCCACCCCACCTCTGCGCCGCAGGAATCTCCTCTGCTTTATTAGAAGTGGGGATCATGGAGGTTTGGTAACTTCCTCGCGGTCACACAGATATTCCTTAATACCACTGGGCCTTCCAAGTCTGCGTATTTAGTCTCGCCCTCTCAAAGGACGTTGTATGTGGGAATACTGAACAAGAACAGCAGAATATTGATAGTTGTGGAAGCTGAGGGTCTATTTACTCTGTTTGAAATTTCTAATATTACTTAAGATTTATTGTTCATCTCTCCCACTGTTTATAATAGCAAAAGGTAATAAACCTCTCGGGCTCATTAGTAAGACACCAATAGAGTAATATAAGGAATTTCAAAAAATAGATAATGAATATAAAGTGCAATCATTTTTTTTAAAAAAGCTAGACACATAAGACTACATACTGTCGGATTCCATTAATGTAAGACTTGAAGTCAGGTTGTGGGGGACGGGGGTGACGACAAAAGGAGCCTTCCTAATATTCTAATTATCAGTGTCGGTGCTGCTTATAGAGGGTGTGTAGACTTGGAATTTGTGAAGTCCTATGTGTGTTGACTTATTTATATTAAAAAAAAAAAGACGGAAGAGCCTTCTTATGTGCTAATATTAAAGAATTTCCAATATATTTTGTGGGTCAAAACTGCAGGATATTAGTAACTCCACATAGATCAATCTAATACATTAATGTAAAAGTACAAGTCTACCATATATGCAAAAAAGTAAATAAAACCATGATATACGGGAAAAGGGAGTTATAGAACTGTATGTAAAGCAAGCCACCATTTTCAAAATAAAAATTTATATATATGCAAGTTCTTGCTTGTAGGTGTACAGAAAAGATATCTCCAGCTATCACCTGAAAGGTGCATGAGAAACTGTTGCATGGTTTCTCTCAGTCATCTCAAGATACTATAATTATTACCACAGACTAGGTGTCTAAACGACAAACGTATGTCTCACAGTTGTGGAAGCTGAAGTCCAAGATCAGCGTGCCAGCATGGTCTGGCTCTGGTGAGGGCCTTCTTCCGGGTTGCAGATGGCCTTCTCTGTGCCTTCACATAGTAAAAAGAGGGAAACCGGAGGGAGGAGGGGTCTTTGATCCCACTCATGAGAGCTGCACCTTCATAATGTAAGTACCTCCCAAAGGCCCCACCTGCTGACACCATCATATTGGGAGTTAGGATTTCAACAGGTTCATTCTGGGGGAAATATAAACATTCAATCTACAGCAGTGTCCTAGGAAGGAAATTGGGTGGAGAGCAGGAGAAGAGATGTGAGAGGCAAATTATCTTCATTGATCATCTTTTGGTATAATTTGAATTTTGTACATGTACATACATTTCCTAGTCAAAATATGAGATTAACTTATTTTACACAGATATTGTGTTTATGTAGAACTATTTGTGGAAGCAGAGAATTTTAAATCACTTGGTACCCCACAGACACTACCAACTTTCCTGTAGGTTCGGGAAATGGAGGAAATCCATATACCTGTTTTCTACATGTGCAAATGGAAGACCCTCAAATCAAAAATGTCTAGGGACCTTTCTTGGACCAGAGATGATTTCCATGTTAAAATTGTAGGGCTAGAATAAATGCATAAATGTAAAGGGATATCATCCATGTACCAATAAACCCAATTTCCTCACCATAACAGGGCAGGGAGACAATCAAGTGATTTTTTTTTCCAAAAAGGTTTGATATGGGAAGCTGGGTTGGGGCCTTGTAAAATTAGGCATTTAATTATATACTTTATTAAGTAGAGAGAGAATGAGGGCTGTCATAAAAGACGTTGACCTGAGTCTTGCATTTATCACTTACCAGTTGGGCACTTTAGACAGGTCAGTTCACCCCTCCACTTTGTGGTTTCCTCATCTGCAAAATGGAGATAATGTCTCTAACTCGCAGGATGGTTGTGGGAAAGAAATCAAAGTTAGTTATCCTCATGATGGTTACTGTGTCCAAACTTCCACCCCTACACAACCTCCTCCAAAGTATCTTTGCTAAATAGTAACTTAGCCATTTCTAAAGCCAAAAAAAAAAAAAAAAAATCAGTCTCACTATTGAACAGCTCAAATTGTTAGTGCTGTCATGAGTTGAACACAAGTTGGGTTCCCTGGTTTCCTTCCATCGGTCCTAATTCTCCCCTCTGCAGCCATAGGCCAAGCTCTCTTCTGCCTAACAAGCTTCCCATTCATGAACGCAGTTCATGCTATTACAAGAATCCCCCCTTATCCATTAAAAGTTGGCTGCAGTCAACCATAGTACAAAAATATTAAGTGGAAAATTCAAAAAAAAATGATTCAGAAGTTTTAAATTGCATGCTGTTCTGAAGAGTATGATGAAATCCTGCCCTGTCCCACTCCATCTGCTCAAGATGTGAAACATCCCTTTGTCCTGCTGGGTTACTCAGTTTTTCACCACTTGACAAAATACCTGAGAAAATGACCTAAAGGAAGAATGGTTGTTTGGGCTCAGGGTTTCAGTTCACATTCAGTTAACTCCACTGTTTCTGGGCCTGGTGAGACAGAATACCAGGGCAGAGGGAATGGGGCCACAGAGCTCTTACCTCCTGGTAGACGGAAAGGAGAGAGAAAGAGAAATTCAGGGGACAAGACACAGTCCCCAAGGACCCCCTCCTTTCAACTCCTACAGTTTCCCCCTCAATAGTCCATTCAGCTACGAAGCCATCGATGGATTAGGTTATAGCCCTTGTGGTCTGATCAGTTCCCAAAAGCCCCACCCCTGAACATTGCTTCATTGGGATCCCTACTTTGCAACCAAAACATTTTAAAAACACCTGGAAAAGGAAGTGGTGATCTCCAGGAGCCAGCAAGGGTCACTCAGCAGGTCCTGCCAAAGGACTCTCTCTCTTTTTCTTTTCAAAAAGAGCCTTCAACACATGACCCTTTAGAGAATGTTCCAGATCCAAACCATAACACCAGCACACCTAGCCACATGTATACACCACCTGCCCCTTGGTCACAGAGAGCCACCTTGGTTGTCAGAGTCACTGTCATAGTATTACGAGTCCTTGTGGGAAAGTAGCTTTATTTTACTTCAAATGGTTCCAAAGCACAAGAATAGTGACAATGTCAATTTTATTATGGTATATTGTTATAAACGTTCTATTTATTATTTATTGTTGTTAATGTCTTAATGTGTCTAATGCATAGATTAAACCCTATCATGGGTAGGTATAGGAAAGAGCATTGTATCTACAGGGTTCGGTACTGCCTGTGGATCCAGGCATCCGTGGGGTCTTAGGACGTATACCTATGGATAAGTGAGGGCTACTGTATTCTATTCTCCAGGTCCTGCAGTGTCCTGTGACCCCTTTGGCAGGTGCATCGGCCTCATGATTAAACCAGGGAGCCATGTGGAGTACACAGGCTGCTAGCACCACCTCCTCCATCCTGTTGGGCCAAGAACAAAGTTTTACGTGTATCCTTACTGGAGTTTTATCCATTGTTCAAGCCCTCTTTCATCATGAGTTCTATCATCTAATGTGTCACGTGTCACTTCCAGCTTTGACCGCCACAGATCTGCCAAATGTGACTTGGGCTTTCTGAGTTATGCACAACACTGTTACCAAGA